GCAGAAAAAGAAGTGAAAGTAAGTTCCTCTAACTTTTTCCAAAAGTTAAATAAAAATTAAATTAAATTAAATTAAACTCTTGACATATTCCAGTAAACGTATAATTTAAAACATACATGCTTTTTGTCTATTTAAAAATAGTACTGTGCAAAAGCTTTATGCAGGTATAAAAGGAAAGTAGGTGTCACCAAGAGAAAACAAACTGCTTCTCAGCATGAATCCAATCCAAAACAGAGACGGTCACATCAGCACTCAGGATTTACGTCTTTTTGATGGAAGCTGGATTTTGTGGATACTAGAGCTGGTCAGTTCTATTTTGTGTAAGCTCCGCCCTCTGAGGCTATCGCTGATGGGTATACCTYGCGCGCATTCTGAAGAACCAATAATCTACGCCCAAGTACCGTGTGGCCTCACCTCCGCATAAAAGCCAGCCGAACCGATGCTCTGCTCCCTCTTTTTCTTCAGCTTCGTGATCAGCATTCTACGCTCCAAACTTCAAAGACATGCCCAGCCAAGGTAGGTTTTGCCCTGCCTGCGGCTCCSGATACATGCTATCCACTGACCTGCATGTGGTGTGTGAGGGTTGACTTGGTGCCGACCATGCCAACCAGGCTCTGACGGCGGAGGCCGCCTGCCTAGTGTGTAGGAAGCTGTCGATGGAGGAGAGGCAGTGGCGAGCGGATTTCTTCGCTGACCAGGATGAGGGGTTCGAGCTTCTCGACCCTATCCCACTCGACCAACTTATCGACTTTGGACTGGAGTCGGATGAACCCACTTCAGAGGACGAGGGCGGTTTACCTCTCCGAGGCGTGAGGGGGGACCCAGGGAGCTGGGTCTTCCTCGCTCCGCGTCCACACCACTGCAGTCCATTGGGGCTCTTGTGAGCGCCCTCCCGGACATCATTGAGCGGGCAGTGGATGCCAGGGGTTTGGCACTTCCTGAGGTGCTGGCTTCCCCACTGGATAAACTGGCGGGTCAGTTCGCCTCACCGCTTGCCGGCCGCCGAGTTGCAGTCTGGCTGAAATTCCCTGTGGTTCAGTCGTATATGGTGTCTGCCAACAGCGATCCCACCAAGCTGAGAGTGTCGGTGTCCTCCTACGTGGACGTGACCAAGGTGGAGGGGATGACTGACTCTGGTTTCCCGCCGGTTCCAGGACTGGAACCTGYGCTTTCCACGGTCTTCGGCATCAAGGCGGTACGGTCAGCCGGACGGCAACCCTTCCCATGGCAGACCAACAGCTTGTCAACTGGACCGACCGGTCCCACCAATGTGCGTCACAGACGGCGGTGGCGACAAATAACATCACTCTCCTGACCTTCAACATCTCTAAGAAAGCAGCGAGGCATGGCAGGAGATAGAGCTGGGCGATATGATCAAAATTTTATATCACAGTATTTTCAGCATTTTCACCAGTTTCACGGTATTTGATGGTATTTTTCTTTTCACCTCAGCTCAGCTGATAATAAAATGTACAAACCCTGCTTATTGACTTTTTTTCTTTTCCTGTAGCTCTGTCTGTGTGTCTGTTTCCCTCCTCTGTGTCTGTTTTTCTCTGACTGGTGG